CCCCCCCCCCCCCCCCCCCCCCCCCCCCCCATGAATGAGTATCCTCGGCAGACAAGTAGTAGGAATCCGTTTTCAAAGGAACCAACAAAAAAAGAGGGGGTTAGGAAAGGTATTTTTCAAAGGGTTCCGACAAAAAGGGAGGTGGTAGGAATCTGCTCATCCACCAGGGGGGTTCAGAAGAAAATGGAAGTGTTAAACCAGACTTATATGTCCCAGTGTTCATGTACATGTACATGTGGGAAGGTAGCTAGTTGCAACTGGGACTCTCAGGTTGTTTACCATTTTAAAACGTTTCTGAAAAATCCAGCTGAAAAGTAAAAGGAATACGACTTTGCAGGTCAGTCCTGCAGAGAATATCCAGGGGCAACAGAATTTCTAAAAAGGTAGTCCTGTTTTTCCGAACAAAATTTTCCAAAAGAAATTTGTGTTCCATTTCTTGAAAGCCATCTTTGATATAAGTTTCAGGCTTCCACGGCCATTTTTCACTTTGATCTTTTATCAAATTCTCTCAACTAATATTCTTCAAAAAAATGTATAGAGAACAGTCTGGAGAATTTGTTTTGGATATGGGACAATGGGCAACCTTCAGGCCGATTTAGACGGTGCGTTTTTTGCTTACGACTATCATGCGCGACTACATGTAGCATACATCAGGACTTTCAACCATCCACACGTGCACAATTTTTGCTTAGGACATCCACAATGTGTCATTCAAATGTTGTGGGTCTAATTTACTTGACACGATCCGTCGTGAAGACGTGACGCATGCTAGTCGTGCACCACAGTTGTAAGCAAAAATCGTACTATCTAAACTGGCTTTTAAGGAATAAGGTTACAATGTCAAGAACTCACAAATAAGAAAAATGCCTATGTTACCTTTTGTAGGAGATGCATTGTATGATGAAATGGAATCAAGCACTCTTGACATGCCTGACAGGAAAAAATATAAGCGTCCTCCCTCTGGGGTGCGACAGACCAGGAGGTCAGCTAGTGCTGAAATGATTGACAGAGATGATGATGAAGGAATGGCAGATAATGAAAACATGAGTCCAGCAAGGAGAAGACCAAGAAGAAAAAGGAATCAAGGCTAGTACTAATAATCCGTTTTTATCATAATATCTACAGTAGCTTCTGCTGTTTGCAGAGATGGGTAAGATGTTATCAGTTTTTCTTCAAGGACTCAAGTTTTTTTATTCATTTGACAAGGAAGTCATCAACTCTAGATCCGACTCCTCATTTAAAAAAAATAGTAGTGATTAAATTAATAAGTAAATATGGAAACTGATCTTAAATCCTCCTTTAACTTCACACCATCTTTTGCTTCACTTGATGAAAACAGCTATAGTCGGTTGTTCATGGAGGCCTAACCTCTCGTAAGCTCCTATAGTTTCTGTCAGGTCTCCTCACCGATTATCCATTATTATGTGGCAAATAAAATAATATAATTATTAATTTTAAAAAAATAAATAGCATTATTGCCAAGACTTAAGACAGAGTTGACCAAGCCCAGTTAGCTGCTATCTTAGGTTAGCTGTTAACAGAGTATATGAGTTGCCATGGTAACTAACCTTGGACACTGCTCCAAGCTGTAATAAATTTTGTTGCCAAAGCATGTAGAAAAAAATTGTGAGACAGAAATTGCAGTGAAAGAGTCTCCAGTTTATTGACCTGTGTTCAACAATCATGAACCAAGCCATGTGTTGTTTTTATTAGTTGTGTTTATGGTCTTTCTAAAGCTAAAGTGAGATAAACATTTGGACAGAATATTATATATGCTCCATTTTTTATATATATACGGTTAATCCTCTATTTAGCCCCCCAGGGGGCTTATTTATTTCAATTACATTTGAGGGGCGGCTTAATAGAGACGGGGCCTTATTTTTCCTTTTTAACTTAGCACTGCAGACAAAGGTACTAGTTCTCCATAAAAAAAACTAGAATGCAAAGTGGAAAGGCACAAGTACAATGGTTTGAGGTCAGGTGGCTGAGAAATAAAAACAAATCTACAAGTACTTCCAGCTGGTGAATAAACCATCCTGGATCAGTCCACACAAAGTTTTACAGTCGTAATTATTGATCACTACAGCCTATCATTTATTAGTGAAGAATAGTAAGGGGAGGGGAGGGGGGCTTATTAACTTTGTTCCCCTGGAAAGGTAGGGCTAAATTAGAGAGAGGGGGCTTAATAGAGGATTTGCAGTAATTCGTCCCTTTTACCCTGATTGTCTGGGTTCAAAGGATGGGTGGTCATAGACATGTCGTTGTCTGGGTGTTATGGATATAATATTACCACACAGTGCTGGTCATGACAATTTTCTTGGGATGTTCCTTTAAGAGGCATGAAACTTTATAGGCCAAGTCTTTCTATCATAATGAAAAAAAAAATCTGATAGGCCATAAGTAAGGGACATGAGAGTCCCTATGGGTGGTTTTTACTGATTTTACCCTTTAGTTTTTGAAAGTTTTATTGAGTATTTTATTTTAATATTTTTAAGGTTCTAGAGATGTTATCGATGGCGAGGAGTATAGTCCCGAGTATGAAGGATATGATGGCCCTAGAGATCCAAATAAATTGAGATCCAAAAAGCATAAAACAAAGAAAAGGTATTTATAAAATGTAAATGTAAATGATAAACATTTTTTAACATATTCAATAGTAAGATCTACAGAATCTTATTAAACAGTTTGATCCTTACATTCATTACATTTTAAATTTAAATCTGTTTACTAACAGTTCATCCTTCAGATGACAAAAGGTACATGTAAAATTTAAACTGTTGTTACTATTCTATGCTACCCACATCATTGTATTGTTTCAGTGTAACTATAATGGGTAGCATATTATGATAAAGAAATGAAGTTTATTGTATTCAAGAGTATGTTTCAAAGAAGTAAGATACTGGTACATGTAATTACTTTGGTCGATAACAAGGGAGTTTTTTTCATTTCCCTCACTAGACAGCACAACGGAACATCTGCTGAAGAGGACAACTACAATGCTGATGTTGATGGAGAAGGTGATTCTAGGCCAAGATAAGATAACATATACAGCTAATGCTCTCAAGAGTGACCAAAATTAAGTTTTTCCTAAAAATAGCAATAGATAATCCAGAGAAAGTTTATGAGAAGAGAAAATACTTTGATCTTTTGTCAAAGTTTCTCAACTAAAATTTTCTTTAATGAAATGTATGGAGATTAGTCTGGAGAATTTGTATGTGGATCTTGGGGCTTAGAGGGTGAAAAAAACTTTGTCTTCTTTTCTGCTTAAAATGAGGGTGTCTTCTCAAAGTAGTTTTGACTGTATCTGTAGGGATGGTACTCAGTGTTTTATATGGGGAGGCGCTGCCCTGTGGTCTGACCCCTAATCCCCATTTATATACCATTTTTGACAGAAAAGGTGCCCCTTTCGTACACCTTCTATTGGCAAATGGTACCCGTTTCACATACCTACAACCCTGGTCAAAACGTCTTGGGACACTTGAGGAAATTAGGCACAAAGACGCACTTTGCTAAATTAACTCATATTCTACCTCTTAAAAAAGCTTGGCGATGTTGTTATAAGGGGCTATTTCTGCTGTCCCCCTCTCCCCCAAGCAGTGTTGATTGTGTTGAATTAAAACTTGAATGCATAACGTCAACATTGCACCGAGGGGGAAGGGGGGAGGCAAGATGTCTCAATTTGACAAGCTATTGCGTTAGTGTCCCAAGAGTTTTGACCAGGGTTGTAGTTTAGAACTTTGCATCCCTTTCAACTGCTGTAAATGCACTCATTGTACATGTACCATCTTCTCAGCTATAAAATGCATCTGTTAGCCCTTTTGTGCCTTTTTACCGACCGAAATGACAGATGTCCCTACCCTTTCATATACTTTAACAAGTGAAATCCCAATCCTTCCATATGCCTGAAGCCTGAAAAAGGTAAACCCCCTTTGGGCGGAGCTTCCCCATATAGGCCATTATAGGGAGTACTCCCCTCCCCCCATTATTGTATTTTTTCCTTTTATGGCACTGATTCTGTGTTTTGTTAGCTTCAACAGTTGATTACTACAGAGTCGATAAGGAAGACATAGTAACTGGTGACACACAAGAGACGGCTCCACCTCCTGCTCTACCTCCTGTCGCACAGACTTTGCCCAGTCAGCCATTAGATGTGCTTTTTATTGAAAGAAGAGGTGAGCTGACTTCAGTTTTATCCAACATTCCTCTGCTCTATAACAGAGAAAGAGAAAAATTTTCTTTTCCCTCTTGTTCTTACAAATTATACAATGTAAGTGCTGTAACCTTTTTCAAGCATTCAGCAGGTTAGTACCTAGTAAAAGCTTACTATGTTTGTGGCTTCTAAAGCTGTAGTGGTTGAAGGTAAAATCCATTTTTTCCCCTATGAATGATAATATTATTAGGGTTGGGAAATTCTAAATCACACTTCCTGAAGGTTGAATTACAGGTTTATCCAGAGTAGGGATTTTAATAGTGCTTGATTTCTTTTGGTAAAATGAGTTTGAGATGGCATAAATCTACAGTTCTTTGTAAAGGATTTGTGTGCATACAGGTTTGTCAGTGTCAATTGATGATCATTTACTTTGCATCCAGATGGACATGGCTTTACGCGGGAAAGGAAAACAAGGATGATGCAGTTGGAAGAAGAGAAGAAAGAGCCACAGTCTGCTCCAATAAACAGACAGATGACAACTGCAGAGTTTGCTGTGGTATGGTTATTCTAAAATCAGAATATAACGCATGCTTTAAATCCAGATACATTGACCATTGTAGTGTACAGTGTACATTCTTTACTCCTGACAGTGGCCAAGGGTCTGGGGGTCAATAAGGAAATATGTGCTATGTATAGCCCATTTTACAGACTTTACAGGTGGAAACAAGGCTGTAGTTGACCTTGTTTTGATACAAACCTTCCTGCTTTGTTATGTAAATCATGTTGTTCTTATGCCAAATAGTATTTTAAAGCATAATTTCCATAAGAAAAGGAAGGAGGTTTGTATCAAAACAAGGTCACCTCACGTTCAGTCAAAGGCTAGGATACTAAGCCCACAACTGTAAAATGGCCTGTATTCCCAGAGAAAAGAAAGCCAATGACTACAGTCACTTATGTTTTGAATGTAATACTTTTCATTTCTCATTAGTCTGTACACCGAGCATTCAGATCTTTTTCCCTCTTCTGCCATGGACTTCTTGCAGGTAAGGTCCCATTTACTAAATGTAACATTTTTACACTTCTTTTACACCAGTGCATAAACACATGAAAATGTTGGTGGTCTACGCATGCCTGAAAGTAATCTTCAACATTAGCAGTTAGCACCATCTATCGGCAACAAAATTGTTGAGACACTGTGATCAAAGATGTTATTTTTTTGGAAAAAAAACAATCTGCCCTCCTCCCCCCCCCCCCTCCCCCACCCCTACTTCCACCACCACCTTTTCATTCAACGTTGCGTTTATTGTTATTTCCTACAAGCTGTTTGGACAGCAGAACAACATTAGGGAGCTTAAGCATAAACCACGGCGGCGGCTACAAAAAGGTCACTTAAAAAGAGAATTCGTGCTGCCTCAAATTTTATCGTGCTTGTTCCATCTCGTTTAATGTTGGCAAATTTTTTTGCAGTTGAATTCTAAAGGACTCTATCTAAGTTCAGGAAAAGAAAAAGAAAGTTGTTGTCTTGTGTTCCCGTCCTGGACAAAATGTAAAATTAAGCACTTCAACGTCGTAGTCGTGCAAGGACGGTTACGAAATGTTCAAAAAAGCGTGATGCACGTGCAAAGTTGTGTTTTTGCCAATCTAAACCTATTGCTTTTTTGCTGTTCTCGTTGACCGCACCGGCAACAAAACCATACACTTCCTGGTGAAGAGAAAGCTTTACCTTCCCTTTTGAATTCGATGTAGTGTAATCAAAACTTGAGAAATGTCCTTGGGGAAAAGTGTCTCAACAAACAATGTTGCTGATTAAAGACTTGAACTGTAACAAGATGTATTTCACAGTGCTGCACTTGCATGGTGGGACACACAAATAAATTTTAAATCTTCCTTTTGTTCTATTTGTCAGGACTTGCACTTTGTCAGGTTATTTTTGTGTACTCGCTGAGTAACAATGGAACAGCGAATGGAAACTTCCTAGAAAACTATTACAAGCTGGCACAACCTCTTCAGTCCCTTTACTATATGCTCTTTGCCATCTGCACAGTCTCTGTTTTTGACAGGTTTGTGTTTCATTTCTCTTACGGAAGATTGTATTTAAGATATTTCAAGTAATGCCTAGGCTAAATAAACGTCGAACTTTTCATAAGATGAACCAAACGCTAAGTCCTAAGCCAAACGTCGAAATTTTCATGACACGAACTGAACTTATTGAGTTAACTTCATGAAAAGTTCGACGTCTGGCTCTGTTAAGTTCGTCTTAATAAGTTTGGATTGTCCAACACGTTCTATCCGTCTGGGGCAGGCGGATAGAACGTCTGAAGATCGTCTCCGGGACAAACGTCGATTTTCACATGCGACGATCTGAACTTATAATTAAACATGTGTATCATAATGTATACTTAGCCTCGTTCGTATGAGAATTTCTGACTGATCTTATTCAGTTGATTGGTTCGACGTGTCATAGCTGTCGCATTTGCCTGCTGGAATTTTTTTGTTTTTAAACGTAAAAAAAAAAAATAAAAAATTGTAGTTTTGGTGTTCTCGTTGCTGTCGCGGTCGTAGAAATTTTGCTACCATGGTAACGTGACGACACACTTTTCCTCTCTATTTAGGCTACGTTCAAACGGCATTGGGCGAATTTTTGGGTGGAACCGATCAAATACAGTTGAACCTGTACTAACGGCCACCTTGCCACAAAGGCCACTTTTTTAACTTGTTCCAGTTACTTATCAGCAATTTTTAACGTAACTGATCAACCTTAGATTAGCCTTAGATGTGTACGCGAAACAACTAAGATCATTTAAGCGAATCGACCTCAGTGTAGGCGAAACGACCAACATTCACTTTGTCAAACCCTCCTGAAGTTTAATTCCTAGGAGCCATATCCAAGTTCAGAAAGATAATGAAAATTTGGCCTTCGCTTGTCTACCTCCTCCGTAAAACGTACAATTAGGCAATTTCACGTCGTAGTCGTGCATAAACAGCAAAGCAATGTACAAAAAAGTCTGATGCATGTGCAAAGTTGTTGTTTTTCCTAGTAAACCTATTGTTTTTGTTTTGCGTTTTCGTTGTCGTCGCTCCGTCGGATCTTAAAGCCCCTATTATTGTAATACAACTCACTTTGACTCTGAAGATGACTACCGCACAGGTTGTCGAAACGTCAGTCACAGTCAACAACAACAGTCCTATTCAGGACTACGTTCACCCGGACGATCAAACTCAACCTACTTTTGTAGTAATAGTAATGTTATTTCTGAGAAATGAAAACAAACTCCAAAACATACAAGAGCACAGGCCTCCCACCCTGCACTTAGAACTTAGAACCAATGTATATCCTTGTTTTTAAAGATATGACATGGCGAATCCACGGTCTGGATTTTTTCAAGGCTTACTTACAAGACCTTCCAGGATACTCTCAAT